GCTGGGCAGGGGGCAGCGGCGCAGGTGGGCTGGGGGGCTGTGTCTCCTCCTCGCCTGCGGGTGTGGGGAATACAAGGGTGCGGGCTATGCACAGAAAATTTTGTGAAAATGCAATTTTCCGCGGGTTATGCATGCATGGGTACGAGATATCCGTGTGCCGGCTATATGCACAAAAATACGGTAATCAAAACATTATGAAATTTGCAGTAACTAACTTATAAAGCCAGATATTGTTGTTCTTCATGCCCCCTTCTAAATGCCCCTTTCTCCCATTATGATGTTACCTCTCCATCCTAGTTCTTATGGAGGTTGTAGTATTAGTTTTGTGGATGTCACAAAAAGAGGAATTGGGGTCTGATTTCCATCTCACATACCCTGGAGCCATGTGAGTCACTCCACTGAAATGAGCTGAGCCAGATACCTGGTTGATGTGAATTGGTCTGGGTCTGTTGAAATCAAGGAGGTTGTGATGCTGAAATAAATAGCTGATGATCTAACTCAATTGAGCTATCACTTTTTAAGTGAACAAATAAGTCTTCCTTATCTTCCTGTCTCTTGCTTCTCTGAAAGGCATATTTTTAGCCATAAGATGTCAATAGATACAATGTAGCAGAAGCTATCCAAGATATCAATGTTGCATCATCAACAGCTTCTTTCAAAGAGGTATGGCAAATGGGCATATGTAGCAGCCATTCGTAAAGCAAACTTAATGCAAATGAACCTAGTTTGAATGCCTTTGAAACAGATGGGAGAGAGTATGAGAAGGAGCCAACAACACTATGTAGCGTATGTGCAATCATGGTAAGTGTTGATGGCAGGAATCCCAGTTAGGGATGTTCATACTTTTGTCTCTCCACAGATTACACACGCAGAGTTAGACGCATGGTTCACTTGTAAATGAGACATTAACTTCTGTGTCTCATTAAAACATAAAGCTGAAATGTCACTTCAAGTCCAGTCTTTTTGTGTCCAAGTTTTGCATTCTTTTCCTCTGCACTGTGAAAGGTAAAGCAGTTACTCTTTGTTTTACATGTGCCAGATAGAAAAGGTCACCCTGTTGTCCTGCTCATGAACTCACAGACTATGTTTTTGGCCTTTCTGAGGTTGTCTTGCAAAGCAGAGTTAACCCTGATTTCACCAATCAATTGTGTGTGTCCACTGCAAGGGATAATCTCCTGCGTGGGGCACTCCCACCTCCTTCCAGAAACATGCCTGTTGCCAAGGAAAGTGTGTGACTGTGGTTTCTACAGCTGCTGTTTTTTAGCTGCCAGATCTTATCATCTCCCTTTGGAGGATAGTAACAATCAATACATATTAAAGCTGCCACAGATATTCACTTAGCTGTGCCTAGGGACTCGGATGATGTTTGCTACGTACTCGTTACTTTTAACTCCTTTAAAAGGACAGGTGAAATGTGATATATTTCATGATATAGCTTTTCTGTGAGTGTCAGCATGAGTTGGGCCCAGGCCCTGAATAATTACAAGCCAATCAACTATATCCTCATGTTGCCTAGTGATGGGAATATCTTTCATGGGATTAAAGTTCAAATACACACCCGAATAATTCAAACCTATTGAATCTAAAACATTTGGCTAGAAATCTTGTGTGAACACCTTTTTTATACTGCATTAATAATTCTAGTTCTACTTTGATCTGTAGCCAAAGGGAACAACCAGGAATAGCTCTATAAATGAAAAAGGTTTGTTGTAGGAGAGATTTTTAAGTGCATACATGTGTGCACACTTGTACAATACCCTCTGGTCCCATTCCCTGTTACCTCAGCCTCCTAAATTCCCTTTCTTCTCTTCCACTTTCCCTAACCCCATACTCCTTTAACTCCCAGGCCAACACATTCTTGCTATGTTGTAACAAGGATGGAACAAGCCTGATGTAAACTATAATGTTCTGAGTCTTCACTCAGTGTTCCTATGCTTTTTTGGACAGCCTTCCATTGTGCCAGGCAAATTAAGGCTTCTGCTCACGTTCAGTAGCTGGCAGCAGGTTGGCACAGACACTACTACAGTTTCTGCCTACTGTAGAAGTCCCTTTAATAGCTGGTGACTTCCTAGAGTGCACTTTGCTCTCTGCCAGTTCAGCAACTGCAGTGGAGCTGTGTATCGCCACTCCAATGGCTGGGTGGGGGCTTTCTGCTCTTGGAGCTTCTGTGAATGAACCAGGTCAGTATGGGCAAGGCTTTCTATGTTAGCAAGACTGTTCCCACTTTATCTGAAACAACATTCACTGACAATGAAAATTAAAGCAGAGGATTCTGTTGTAACATGATACAATTGCAATATACGTGTGCTAGGAAGTTTGCAAATCTTTTCTTAATTCTGAGTGGTCAGAAAAGAATTTCCTTTGCTGGCCTAATTTAAAAATACCTTTTTCTTCCCACATCTGCCAACAGAGTTCCCTATGTCAATATATCTTTTCCAGCACCCACAGCTACTGATAGTAAGTTTGAGTAACAGAGTTTACTAGGAAAGAACTTTAAGCTCCATAACGACAAAAGAAGAAATACTTCAAATTGGTTATTTCATGTTTCAAAGTTCCTTTATTCAGTCAGAGCAATCAGAACTTGTAGTTGAGTTAACTGTACTTCTGTACTTATTTTTCGTTAGGGTTCATTATTTTTCCAATGAAGAGTGTGCTGTTGGTAACTCTATCAAAAATCAGCATTAGGAAGGGGCTCTTGAATTCAATGCGTGGGGGAAAAGAGAGAGGCATAATTTCAACAGCTGTTGCTGCCGCTGCCTCAGAGCCTCTCTCATCAACATTCACCATGGCCTTATGGACAACCTGTGGGGAAATAAAGCACACCCTGCAGTTCCTGGCATAGTACAGGAGCTTACCATAGGTAATCCAAACCACTTTTAAACCAGCAGCATTCAGAAGATCTGTTCTGGGGGAACTGAGCAGAAGGAAGACAGGCCTGAGAGAGAGCCATGGGATGCACAGCTTATTGTCGCATCAGCTGTGAACTGGGATGGATATGCACAGTGCTTTGCCCTGTGAAGGAGAGTCTCTCTCAAAGTAACACTTTCTATCCACAGAAAAATAGTCCCACTCCCTCATATCTCTGTAAGGATGTTTTTTAAAGGATCATGGGTGAAGCTGATCCCTAAGCAAAAGGACTGGCACAAGGCCTTAAACACCTCACATGTCCTTGAGGCCAATAAACAGAAGAGAGGTGCTGACTTTTCTTGTGCTGTGCTAACTTGTATTTATTAGTCTCACACATGGAGAAATGGAGATCACTGAACGGAAAAAAAAGAAACAATTTGGGGAAAAACAAGCAAGCATCAACTATAAGTGTCCAATCCCAATTAAAAAAAAGTAGATGTTTATCAGAACTGCTTCCCCTAACCCTTTGATTTTTTGCTTCTTTCTGCTGGACTTAATTTTTCCTAGCCTCTTTTCTCCTTTGAGTTGTATTATTGTGGGAAGCAGGAAGCCACATTGTTCCTTACATGCAGTCTGTACCTCCTTTAAGCTCACTGAGATGTCCCAGCTTGCCAGCTTTCCACTTCTGCTTTTCTGGGGTAGGAAGATAAGGAGCAGGTTCCAAATATGTTTAGGAGCTTCTCTTGGGGATTAGGCTTCCTGGCCTCTCATCCTTCTTCAGGGGAATCCATTTATGCTCCAGAGAGTCCATGCGTTTAATACTGGTTTATTAAAGGTTAATGTACTAATCTGCAAACCCATGTTCTTGTTAGGCTAAATTCATCCCTGATATAAATCTGGTGACCTGAAGAGAGTTGCACCCACATGAACCTGGCCCAGTGTGACTGCTAATTAAGGACGGTTTATATTTGTTAACCATGAGCAGAAAGCAGTAGTTAGCTGTCTTAGTTGGAAGTCAGGCAGAAGCCAGGGTCAGTTTGCACCTTACAGACTAACTAAATCAGATGTAGAAAACGAGCTTTTGTGATCCTGAGCTCACTTCTTCAGATGCTGTGAATAGACATGCACAGAGCAGTGTATCCAAGTTGTTTCTGGAGAAGTGAGCTCAGGATCATGAAAGTTCATACTCCACACCTCTGTTTTAATTAGCCTATAAGGTGAAAATCTACCCTGCCTTTTGGCTGATTTGCTAAACCAGGCAATGCTTTTACATGGCATTTGCACTTCAGTTTAAAACTGCAATGTTTTCTACCTGGATGTTAAAGAGACCCTCTGCTGCTGTATACTTACTTTGGAAACCTTGAAGTCGGGTGTCCCAGTAATTCCAGACAGGTCAGCGCTGTTAGTGAACACATCAGTAATCCCCATTTTCATGAGGAGGTTCTTTATTTGGTAAGTACCAGAGATAGAGAATTTGGGGATGTACAGATATGCTGAGCTGTTAAAAAAGAACAATGAAGCAGAAGTTTAAGTATTTCATGCAAGTAAGAGCAAGGGAAACCAGCTTCAAAATCCCAGTAAACAGGCTCTGTCCTTTATGTACAATACTCAATGTCACTCTGATTGCTAGTGCTTTCAATTACTGATGCAGATAATCCCTGTAGGGAAATAAAGGATGAGTACAAGAGGTATCAATGTGAGCAAGAGAAGAGAGCAGACAGACAAGATGGATGTTGGCAGTTTGGGTATCATGGGCAGGGAATAGGTGAGTGGAACCAGAAGCCTAGTGAGCCACTTAGAGGGCAGCTGGGTGAAGGCCAGGAATAGATGGATGAGTCAGGCCAGGAAAGGCATAGAAGGGACTGAGAGGCTGGGACAGGGCTAGGGAGCAGGGAAGGCCACCTGTAGTTAGACATGAAAGCAGGGGAGGCTGGTACTCTATCAAAATTCAGTAGGTTCAGAAGTGGCACCTATGTGCTGCAGTGCCTTCCAGTCAGACAAAAGGAGGAGCACAGGCAGGGGGAGGTTGAGCCGGAGAGGAAGGCTAGCACCAGCACCAACACCAACCTTACGTGTATCACCCCAACATTCCTAGTGGGGGTTCTGAAATCAAATTTGTCTGCAGAGGTACAATTTGAAAAATCCTCTGGGAGACCCTCATAGCAGAAATTGCATATCTTCCTTACCCAAGTGGGTCAGCACTACTCTGGTCACACTGGCCTCTGATCCATCTTACTCCTGTCACTAGGCTACACTGCCTACTTGATCAATAGGGTCTAAGTCGTCATCACTGACTTTGGCAACATTACACTGGCACTTTGAACCTGCTTGGTTTACTATCAGTTGTAAAAGCCTCTTTCCTTAAAAAAAAAAAAAATCCCAAGACAAAGAGGAAATTCATGCAATTTACCTGAAATTGCCCTTCAGTTCTTCTAGCCCATCACCTCTCTCAATCCCTTATTTATTCAGTTTTTAGTCAGGAAGCTTGTGCCAAAGCTGCATGTAATCCAGGAGATTTCTGAGTGCACCATGAAGAATTACAATGACTTTCTTTTTTGCAGTACCAAATTACTGGCTCATAACCAATTTGCTGCCCAATATCCCTGAATTCTCCTTAGCCCTTTTATATTATTTCTCTGTCTTCACTGATTCCAATAACCTCTGCTGTCAGAGCTGCCTAGTCCAGCACCAGCAAATGATCCCTTGGAACATCAGTACACCAGATAAATGCTACCTGTGGTAATACTGATCTTTATCTCATTATAATGTATTCCTCCTCTCATCTTGAATTTGAGCCTGAGCCAGAGCCCAAGTAATAAGAAACTTCCTATAACCTTTGCACCAGGACAATATTATTCTTTAGCAGTATACCTCAACTACTCTTCTTTAGCCAGTATTCATTTGCTTTACACATTCATCCATTTGACTGCGCTCTGTTACAAACCGATTTGAACTCATTTATTAAGATGGCTGTAGCAAGTATAAAATGCTTTACTAAATTGCAGCTAGTTTGTCAAATGCGACACTTAAATTTTACTAAAATAAAGGTTGTGAAATGGTTGGTCAGGAACAGTGGGGAGCTTCAATGAATTAGGAATACATCAATCTGGCTTTATCTGCAATGCCGCTTTAACAGTGTTAGCATTTCTTCTCTCTCAAGCAGGTAGTAGCAATGGAATGCCCTTGCTGGTGTCATTCCTAGTGGTGGGAGCTAATAGAATTTCCTTGGACCATTATAGTGTGTCCCAAAAGCTCCCCTGCAGAGCAATAAGCTTTGCAATGTACGTACCAATTTAGGAGGAGTATTTAATCAGATTGTGAAAATGAGTAAGTAAAACATGATATGCGTATCAATTCCCCTCTGTCTTTCCTCTGAAACCATCTAAATCAGAGTTTATTTAGAGAATAAGTTTCCTGGGGCTCTGCAGGCACATGATTGAATTTTTACTTTGTTTTACTGTTCTTCTCTAGGAAAGAGGCATGTGCCATTAATAGTAAAAAAAGTGCAAATCTGCCCTGAAAAGTAACTGTAACAATGGTTCTTTTCTTTCATCTGAGCTGATCAGCAGCTTAAATTTACCTTTTCTACATGAGCCATAGTTGCCCTGCTAAATTAATGCAGGTCTGAGAGGGTCAGTTAGGTTCCATTCCAGCCTTCACACCATCAACCAACTGATTGAATATGTGTCACTTGTAGAATCGTTATTGGTTGGGATGCATAAGTTAAAACTATCCCAACAGAAGTCTTGGAAGCCTAGGGTAGGTTTTGCAGGTTGGCATGTGTAAAAAAAAAATAATGCATGGTGACACTGAGCAGCTCTGATCCAGTGTCACTGAGAGCTAGTGAAAACAGAACCCTTGCAGTTCTGTTTACTAGGACTGTGTGGAGCTTTGGTAGTTGGTTTGATTCGGAGGAGATTCAGCCAGATTCGGTGGCCAAATCTCTGAATCCAGATTGAACTGGGAGACCCGTTAAAACCTCCAAATTGAATCAGAAGCCTCCAAATCAATTTGGAAAAGATTTGGTGCCAATTTGGAGATTTGGTCATAGACTAAACGGGCAGTAGTCCTCGAGGATGCTGGACACAGCTGCCTCCAGCTAGTAAGTCTGTTGTGGTGGGCAGAGGGGGGAAGGGAAGGGGTGTTGGGGGGCAGATCAATGCCCCCGCAGTGAGGGAAGGATTGGGGTTGGGGCTGGGGCTGGAGCTGGGACAAGCTGCCCAGCTAGGGCAAGGAGGCGCGGGACTCAGGGAGGGAGGTTCCCACCACTGTGCGCCGCCGGTCTGGGAAGGCATGGGAGTGGGCATGTGCCTCCGGAGCTGCGCAGGGCAGGCTGGGCCAGGCTGTGCTCCGGGAGTCTAGCCCCAGCTGCCCACCATCAGGCTGAGCTCCATGGGGCGGATGGAGCGAGGGTTGCACTCCAGGTGGCTAGCCCCAGCCACAGCCCAGAGCACAGCCCTGGCTCCACCCACCCTGCAGAGCACAGTGGAGCAGGGGCTATGGGGGAGGGGGCTGTAGCCACCCTAAAACTCCCCAAAGCCCCTGCCATCAGCCCCACCCCGATCCGGGTGCACGCGCCCACCCCTACGCCCCGCCGCGGCTTCCCCAGCCAGGACGAAGCTGTGGCTTGTCCAAGAAGTGCGGGGAGGCTAGGTGAGCAGCAGGAGGGCATAGCCCTCGCTCCCAGCGCCTTTCACCACCTGTCCGGAGTGCAACCTGGCCTAGCCTGCCCCGCACAGATCCGGGGGCACACGCCTGCTCCCATGCCCTCTCCCAGACTGGCAGTGCGTGATGGTGCACAGAGGCAGGAGTCTCCCTCCACAAGTCCCGCCCCCCCTGCCCCAGTTGGGCAGCTTGTCCCAGCCCCAGTCCCTCCCTCACTGTGGGGTCGTTGATCTGCTCCCCTCACGCCCCTCCCCTCCCCCCACCACAACAAACTTACCAGCTGGAGGCAGCTGTATCCAGTGTCCTTGAGGACTGCTGCCTGTTTAGTTTATGGCGGAATCTCTGAATCAACGCTGAATCTTTGGATCCAAATTGGCCGAATCAAATTGGGACAGTGATTCAAATCACCGAATTTAATTACTGTCCCTCTGAATCAGTCGAATCCGAATCCATATTGAAAACTTGCCACTTTACACAGGCCTACTGTTTACCAGTGCCACGTTTCAAACTGGCTATCTGCTATAATCAGTTGTAAAAAAGATTACCGTAGAAAGAGCGACTCTGACCACCTGGAAACTGTTTCTTTTACCAGAGCATCTTCCAACTGTTTCATTTTTCCTTTTTCAGGCAGAATAAAAAATGCTGTAGCGCTTCCATTGTAATGAAGTCTTAACACAGTGCAAGACAGATCATGATCAAAATGCATGTAAAACATGCCTGTTCTGTGCATCATAGGAACTTTAACTGTTGTTTCCTCATCTACATAGAAGTCTCTTTCTTCAGTGAACTCTGACTCAAAAGGCTTCTCCCACTTTCCTTAAAGAAAAAAATAGAATGTAGGTGAAATTCTGTGAAAATAAGAAATAACTCATACAATCAGTATAATTTGTGTCTCTCAGATATTGTGGTATGTTTAGGTGAGTACAAAAGCTCATTTGTATTATGGTAGTTGGACACCCCAGAAACTTAGATGAAGTGCAAAATGTCCTGCTGAGGTAAGGTAGTCATGTTAATTACATTTTTTTTTTTATAATTGGGAAAAGTGATGCACAATGTATCTAAGTCACTTATAGGTTTCACAAAAAATCGGTAGAAGTCAGCAGCCGAACCCAGACCTCCTGACTCCTCATCCCTCTGTCCCTTAATCACAGACTATTATTCCATTTATTACAGTAAAATCTCCATGATGTAGAAAGACTTTTGTATAGTGGTAAAAATACAACCCTTTTCATTTATTACAACGGTAATTGGGAAGAAAGCAAAGTTACCATGTTAAAGATTTTTGCTACTGCTAAAGTGGAAATAGTTTTGCACGGTCATGAGCGAGTTTCATAGTCAACATCTGCTATGCTATTTATGTTCTAATACCAAATCAGGCATTTTCTTATTTCAGCCGTCAGCAATGAATCCTTGCTGCTTTTATAAAATGCTGCTTCACGTCTCTATCCTTGCATTTCTTTGCCTAACTCATGGGCATGTATGTGAATCTGTGCTTTCACATCAATGAATGCACAGGATTTTTTTTTCTTTAAATGATCAACTTAAGTAAAACATAATTAAAGGCTATTTTGACTCCCCTAGTAAGGCACAAATTTTGCATTCAGGCATACTATATGCATTAAATTTCCATTAATTTCAACAGTCAATATATAGTGCACTAATCTGGGAGCAAAACCTGGCCTCAGTGGGTGCCTATATACATGCTTTAATGTGTTCTAATTAGAATGCTCTAGCATCGTTGCAGTGTCACATGTATAAACCCCTGCAGGTTTAAAAATGGCCTCTGGGGTGCTTTAACCAAAGCTTATCAAATGAGCTTTAGTTAAAACATCCCATGGCCATTTTCAAACATGCAGGGGCTTAATACATTTGAAGCTGTGGTGTTTTAATTAGAGCAGCTCTCCACGAACCACTCTAATTAAAATGCCCTCCCCTCCACCCCTGAGCACATGTATAGGAACACAATTTGCCAAAAACAAATCAGCATGCTCTTCTGTGGAATGGGTTGTAACTTGACCATAAATGGTCAACTTTTCTAAAATGGATATTTTCCTAGATTTTTGGTACACCTTCTGCTTTATTTTGAATCTATTTGAGTAATATAGATTTGAAATCCCCAGTCCATGTTTGCCTTTTGCTCTGGAGAACTCACTGTAGATATACTTTATTGGTAAATGTAGTGTTTTATATACAAATCCCTTTAGCTAGATTGTGGCCATACTGTTTGATCTGAAGTTTATTGAAGTTAACACTGGGGAGAGAGGAGGCTTTTCACTGACTAATGTCAGTGTTCACTGGAACAAGCTCGTAAAGTACATTAAAACTACATTATTATAGATAAAAACATAATTGTGTAATGAAATTAATGTTACTTCTGGTGTATAATTATGAATAGTAATACTGACAAAAATGCACAGGATCTTCAAAAAGCATTTGTCTGCAGAAAATCTTATTGGTGAAATTTATGCTGAGCTAGCCAATTGCCTGTCAAGAATGATGGGGGGGGAGTGGGCGGGGATGGAGCCCTGGGCCCCACCCGTCACTGCTGATGCCATGGCGCACCTGCTCCTTCCTCCCCTGTGTCTGGCCTGCTCGGGGGCGGGTGGAGTGGGTTTGAGGCTAACACAGGGGAGGGGAGTGGGGGAGGAGTGGGCCCAGATTGGGG